GAGGAGGCAGAACGTTTCTATACACGGCGGGAAGCACTTGGACATTTTAGGAGAGATAAACCAGGTTAAAGCATCTACAATCCAAGGACTCAACCCTAGCTGACACCCAGCACCCTCTTTCCACTAAAATCACCCACAGTCAGCAGCTCCCTCAGCCCTTCAGAGCTACGTTACCCCCATTACCCAATACCCCATCAATGCAATTTGCTTAATGGCAGCCCCAATTTGCTTAGTGGCAGCCCCATCCTGGGTGCAGGATGAAGTGCAGACCAGGTCTGAATCTGGCTCTGGAGCTTCTAAACTTCGAGGATAGCTCCTTGCAACAGGCTAAAGCAATCCTCTTGCTGAGCACTCCAAGGGCCGAGGACCGTGTGCCTAACGAGGCTGTATCCCCACTCATATGTTAGCTTGGCAGGTCTGGTGCTCCTTTCATCTCTTGCTTCAGGTAGCTCTCTTTAATTAATAACATCTCTGTGTCGACACAGGGAACTTTCCACCCAGAATGAATGGCCCTCTCTCATTAGACCCACGACTGTCATGATGTATTCAAGAGCAGGAGTATGATTCATTTCCTTGTCTGGGAACGGAGGGTGTTGCTGGAGGTGGGGGGAGACGAGGCTCTGTAATGAGTGACTGATATTTGCTGAAGTTGATATGCGCCTCTGTCGGCTTGAACTGCCTTGTCAGAACAAGCCTTCAGAAAGGTGATGTTCCCACTCAAGAGGTTTTTCCTCATTAAAGAAATTGCATCTTAACAAGAGGGAAGGGGAGGGGTGGGAGGAGAGCTGCTGTCTCCCCCATTCCAGCCTGGATCACGCACATCCAGTACTGAACACYGGCTAAGCCAAGCACGGCGAGGGAGGCTCAGGATTCAGCTTCTCAGCCCTCTCATGCAATGGGCTCTCRTGGCAGCGACCCAGTCACGGCACAGGGACTCTCCGTGGGATGTCACACACAGCACGATGCAGCCTTTGGTGGCAGGGCTGGGGACCTTTTCTCATGTGCTGAATCTCCATAAACCATTCCCAGATGCTTGGTGTCCCTTTCCTGGCACCCAGCTCACTAGCGCCCGTGTTCCCAGATGGCAGAGGGACACAGATAAAAACACTTCTGTGGCCTTCCAAGAAAGCAGTGTGCAGGAAAAGCCTGAATCCCACAGTGCCTCAATCTCTGAAGACCCCTGAGCCAAGCAGAGGCTTCACAGCTGAGTTTCCATCTCAAATGCTACAGSTCCAAATGCCACTGGATGCCAAAAGCAGTTGCAACTAAGCTAAGGATCTTTCTGAGAAGAGCAGCAGCACAGCAATGAGCAGACCTGCCTCCCAGCAGGAAGCACTGCCACACTGGGGCCTTCAGAACGGGGCAGCATTGCATTTCTGAAGCAGTATGAGTGGAACTGAGCGCTGTGCCCTCAGCAGGGACTACCAAGCACAGAGGACAGTATGCTGTCTCTACAATCTCCCATCAGCAAGAGCAAGAGACACTCATGTTAGCATCCTGGCCAACAACTGCCTTCCACCCTCACCTCTTGCACTCCCACATGTTATCACATCTCTCTCCTCCTAAACTTGCTCACATGCCAGATGGCAAAGGCTTGGAACACATCAAGACTCCACTCTGGAGGGCTGTGTTTAAGCAGCGAGTTGAGCCTTCACTGGGAGTGCAAGAAACCCAGTGAAGTGCCACAGGACCAGCACTTCTGAAGCCACGAATACTTATGGGGCTGTCTATGAACTAGATGGTTTGCACTACTCCTTCCCACCTCCAACCCTGGTCACAGTCTGCAAGCACCTGAAGCAGGTTCCAGCAGGCATGTCTACCCCAGAGCAAGGAGCTTGTCCTTCTAGGAACATCTCACCTCCCTTTCCTGAATTCCACTGGAATACATTTTTTTAATTCTGCAATGTTGCCAAGAACACACTCCAGCAACCTTAGACAAGTAGCTACCCACCTCCCTTCCTGCCACCCCAGTGCCCGCAGTGCCAAGTGTGTAGTCTTCACATAGCAAAAAAGGGCTCCAACTACACTGTCAGCCTCCTAGGAAAGTACAGGGTGATTCCCTGGAATATTTCCTAGACGTTCCACATCCCTGATGCTGTATCTTCTTGTCTGAACAGCCTTGTTTCAGCTCCGTGGCTTCCCTGTTTAAAAAGAGATGCTCAGTTCTGCTTTGCTAAACCCTATTTGGCAATGTGTCTAAACACACACAAACTTAATTAGTTCAGGAGGGAGACTCGGCATTTGTGGTGACGGATAAAAGTAATGGGAAATGAGACAAGTCAGAGCTGGCAGGGAGTCCTCACTCAAGCCTCATTCACTGGCACAGCACTAATCAGATGTGATGCTCCACGCTGCTACACCCAATCGGCGGCGGGATGTGCTGCTCACCAAACGGCTGCACCCCGGCGCCCTGTATCCATGTGGCTGCAAACACRAAATGTATTTTCTGCTTTGCCCTGGAGATGCTTCAGGATTGAACTCTCATGTTAATAGTTCTTAAAAAAAAAAATAAAGAAGAGGGAGAAATGAACCACTCTCTGCAACTTCATGGCCAGGAGTGGAGTCTTCTTTTCCAGCTGACTAGTAAGGCACAATCCATGCGAGAGGCTGCTGCAAACGGGGAATCAAGTATCTCAGCTCAAGAACTGCATGTCCTGCTGGCCCGTTCGCCCCACAACACCCACAGCTCATCAGCAGTGGGGCAGATCTTCAGTTATGTCTTGTCTGGTACTTTAGTAGCAAAACTACTCAGCCAAGGATAGAGAAATCTAGGAGCAAAAGGAGGAGTTTGCAGCTAGCTGTTTTGATGCAAGGTAAACATGATGTTTTAAAAGTAAGGAAGACAAGAGAGCAATTCACTCACTTCTAAGGATCGCAGGCAATTGCGATAATAGGAGCATCTGCAGGACAAACTGTGTTTCAAGCCCCAGGACAAGTGGCRTAGCAGGAATCAGGAACTTTTTACTCCCTTTTACTGAGTCAGGGAGAAAAACCAGCAGCTCTCAGCAGAGAAGACACAGTCACCCTTTTATCCACTGCAGAGCTCTGAAGCAAAAGCCCTCAGAGGTTGCCTGCTCTATACAGATACCAAGTTAGGATGCCACTAGCTGGGGACCCTTATCCCACAGTGGAAGGGGTCGAAAGATGGGTTTCATGCACAAGCAGGTCGCAATTCTGTTCCTCACAAATATCACCAAAAGCAGTAATCGGAACTCTCAGGACAACAATGCAGGAGTAAAAAGCTGAGAAAACAGATGAGAAATAAAGAGTTCAGCACATTCTTCAGCTGTCTTTGTGTGGGCCTCTAAGAAACTTTTAACATGAAATGTAAAGAAAAAGAAGCCCCACTTTTAGTTTAAACCAATTATGCAGGAATTGGGGAAATACACTCAGACACCAGCTTTGGACATGGTCCCAACAAACACCCAGCTTTCGACTCAAAGCTAGCGTGCCACCCTCCTGTTTGGARCATGGCAAATCTCCCCTCTCCACGAGGGCCTGCGCTGCCACTCCGGTCCTCCTGTCTCCCTAATCACGCCAGGAGCAGGCGAGGAGCTGCCACTCTACAAAGACCACTCTGCAGGAAGGAACCAGTGCTGATTGCTCCCAGGCTGTGTGCAGCTTATTCAGGCTTCAGACTTGGGGAAACCAATGTCAAAGTGAAAACCAAGTAACACTACTAACGAGTTGTGGATGTCAGTTTAACATTGGATATGTCAAGCCCAAGCTTTATCGATGTGATAACAACAAGAGTCTTTACCCAGCACTCTAAGGAAATAAAAAGCTGAGGAGAGATTATAGGAATCCAAGGGAATTCAGCACAATGTGACACTGATCTGCAAGCACCTTTCAGATTAGACTAATCTAATTCTTTGACTTTTKAACTCCTTTATTTTTTTAATCAACTTTTTAGGCTGCAGGTCCATCTATTTTCATAATGAGACATGCATGTACAACAGCACCTGCAGATTCCAGTGCAGGCTCCCACCTGGAACTCTAGATATTGTTGCCCAGCTGATAAGCACGACCTCAGTGATAAGAACACTGATAAAGAGTGCCCAACTTGGCTTTAATTTTCTCTCCAAAGACTGCTCTGCACTTTGCATACAGTTAATGCACTAAGATGGCAAAGAGAAAGCCGTTCATGTGAAAGTCGGATAAGGACCACTGCTTGATTTAGCTGTACAGCAAGACCAAGACTTCTGTTCACAGCTGGAGACACCCATCCTTACTCTTGTTTCTGCATAGGAAATTTAATCCTCTTTATTCCCTGAGGAGATGTCAGGCACCACAATCTGCTGAGAAAAGGGGTAACTTTTTGTCCATCCGGTCTCCCCAGATGAAATTTAGATTGAAGCATTCAGAAAAGTCAGAACAAGAACATTTCTGAAAAGTCAGAAATAAGAGCAACGGCCTCTTCTCCTTGGCAAGTATAACAGGTAAAAGAGGAAACATGACAAACCACTGGTTTAAAGTCTTCTTGAGTATGAAAGCAACTCTACAGGGAAYATCCTAGACACTGAACTTACAATATGCCTAGCACCTACCTTTTTTAATTAAGCAACCCTCCTCCACTCTTCATTATGTGAGATAAACAATGATTCACATAGAAACAAATACTAGAGACGGTGTGAGGCTCGTGGATKCAAGAGGCTTGGAAACGAAGAGGAACCACTGCAGGAATCAAGGCCAGCATGAAGAGCACTGGGAGGCTTCTCAGCCACAGCTCTCCACCAAACACCCACAAGGTGCTAAMCACAGCCAAGGCTGCAGCACAATTAACAGGGAAGGAACAAAATGGGGACAAGAGATGAGCATCTTCCAYCCTTCTCCACCAAATTAGAGATCTGTGAAATCATACTAGTCTGTAGCAGCCACAGCAATCTAAGGTGGAAAGAGGATTTTTTTTTGCAGGCAGGAAATGTTTGCAAAGATGTACACACTACAGGCAAGCATAAAGCAAGAAAGTCGAGAAAATCTCCCTCCCCTTCCATACTCACATCACTTTCAAATCCCAGTCACCACAGGTCACAAAAATCGACTTGACGCTGGGATCTAAGAGGCCTTCCTTCGCCATCCACTCGTCAACCCTCTGAAAAGAAGGCAAGAAAAGGGGATGAGTTTTTGCAGAGGCAGACCGAGCCACAACAGTTAAACTCAGATAAGCTGCTCGCAATCAAGAGAGAAGAAAATTGTGATCTTATCCACCCCTCTCCCTCTCTCTCTTCTCTCTCTGCTTGCCATCTCAACAACAGCACGTTTGGACCTTTGAAGATTTCTGATAGGAGACATCAGGCAACCAGAGCAGAGATGATCTTATCAGACACCACAGCAACTCTGCTCATAGAAGGCTGGAAGTTGTGCAGYGCTAATGGGACAATACAGATGCAGTATTACCTGGCGACTCTCCTCTTTTCTTCTTCTCATATCAAATGGGCTGGTAGCGAAGCATAACTTCAGCCCCTTCCAGTGATGAGAAACCTACTTATTTCTTGAAGCTTTCTAATGCAGGACAGAGGTGGGAAGTAGAGCCTAAACCAAGAGCATCTACTACTACTATGACCCTCTGGGTATCAGACTGGGAACTGAAGAGAAACGGCCAGCAGAACATATCATCTGCTTGGATTTGCACAAGGGGGAACACAAGCACTCAGTGACAGTGCCCCTCATCTACAGCATCCACATGTACTCTARTTAATGGGGAATGGGGACATGGATCAAAGGGGAAGGACTGGGCATGCACGAGCCCTGCATGGCAGTAACAACCAAGCCCGTGTGTCCTTCCTTTATAGCCCGAGTCTCTTCCCTCCTTACAGTTCTGAGCACAAGTCTGTTCAGGGAAGGGTAGAATGGGGATTTAAAGAGAATCCAATATTCTGGATCAACTTCCCCATAGGGATACTTGTTCTGGATCCACTGTGGCAATGGGCTACATTAATCTGGAAGAGGCGCATCCACCACAGTGATTAATCAGGAAAAATTAAGCTAGAATAGACCCTCATCATAAATACCTTAACTAAAGTCCTTGCTTTGAGATGCCAGCAATCTTTGGTGGCAGGTGACATGCAACTGGCTGCTGCTAGAGGGGCTGCAAAACAGCATTGCCTGTGCTTCAGCAAGAGGAATCCCTGCTCTTTCCTCTCACTTTATGCCTTGAATTCCTAAGGAAAAAAACTATCATGCCCCAAATTTTGATTATTTTTATTTCACTGAATTTTAATTTTCATTTTAACAAAAAATCCTTTAGCCCAAAACTTATTCAAATCTAGAAAGCTGCAGGTATATTAATTGTACTGAAAATGTATACCAAAACGCACTGAAATGTTTCCACAATAGGAAACTCTTGTAGGAAGAGTAAACAGTTTTTTGAGGTACTGCAGCAGCTCCTGAACAAACCGGAGGCACCTCCCRTGGAGGCAGGTGCAGGCACAAGCACTGCTGCCAAGTACCTCCTGAGGAGCATGAGGGACCAGGGCAGGGCCTGGCAGGTGGATGCCACCTCCATGGAATGCCATCTTCAGCCTCTTGGCACTGCTGCCGCCTTTGCAGCAGAGCACAGGGCTTCTTTCTGCAACCAGCTGGGGAACAGCTCCCTTGGGGAGAGCTCCCCTCCAAGCAGCATCCGGCCTCCGGCCCCTGCAAGGCACTTCTGCCTCCCTTGGATTGCTGAGATCCTACATCCATCCCTGCACAAGGCTCCAGGGAGCAAGGGACAGCAGCTGGAACCTTTCTAAAATCCCTGAGGTGAGCGCCCATGAAGTGCTGTCGCCACAGAGGAGTTTAAAGCCTTTAATTTGATTTCCTCACATAAGCAATTGTTGCAATTATTCTGATTAGGAACAATTAGGTAACACAGCAATGGAAATCCTGACAGAGACAATGCATCGAACAGCAACGTGCAGCCTGAGCAGGCTCTGCTTAAGGAGGTTTCCTTCCCTATTTGACTTCCAACAAAAGCTATCGACGGCGAAATACTTCCAAGCTAATTAAGCCCTAAATGCTGTAGGAATCCAACATTAAGCAGATGGCATTATTAGGGCTATATCTGCATTCGCACATCCTCCAGATTAGATTTTAGAGGCATTTTCCTTCTATACTACATGTATTATTGAGCATTTAAATAGGTAGAGAATATTAATTTAATAAGGTGCTGAGGGAGCAGAAGGAAAAAGGAGGCAGAGCTACCAGAGCAGTGGTCTCAAGCCATCCACGCCTTGGTGCTTTGAAACTGGCTAAAGCAAGAATAGCCTCTTCTCCTATCTGCTGGCAGGAGTTTGGATATCCTGTCAGTACCCTTGACATGAACAGCTGGAGATGACAGATCAATGGTTCAATACTCTCAGCAGCATGTCACCAACATGACAGCAAATGTTATTCTAATGAAGCTGTAATCATAGTCAAATTACGCGGTTCGATTCTCAGAAAAGGGAGGGTGCAGGGAGAGCGCTGGAGAGGGSAGGACAGGATCCGAGGGCAGAGTTCAGGAACTCAGGTTATTCTTCTCACCTCGAGCACTTGCTGGAGGCTGGGCTGCCCATCCACCATGCCTTGAATAATCCCAGTCAGCTGAAACAAGAGACAAACAGAAAGCAGGAATCAGAGCAGCGTTCAAAAGATGGTTGGAAAATCTCCTCTGCTGTCCTCCTTCCCGCATTAACAGATGCTCCCGTGACCCTCGTGGGTGATATGGAGCCGGCAGCTGTCCCAGCCACAGGCAAGGGCAGAGCTTCATCCCCAACAGAGCAGAGCAGCCGGGCTCCCACCCACGCCAGGCACCAGGGAGCAGCTCCCGTCAGTGCAGGACGCACYGCGGGCTGCAGCGGTGCCCGACCTGCTGCCTCCTTTTCAACACGGGGCTTCCCATTTTGATGTTGCTTCGACTTGCACGGGCAGAGGAAACTATTGGCAATGCGCAGGCATTGCCCCGCTATCGTGGTGACACCAAAACTGCATCATGTTAGATAAAAACAATAAACTGCTGTTGGTGAGAAGTGTAGAGAATCCGTTCACCCACCGTGTGCCGGGYAGCAAGCACACGTGTTTTCTGATTGTCCATCACAACGTTCTTCTGCATTTTAAGCTGCAGATAAGACTTACTGTACTTGAAACAACTGAAATCTCAAAAAAAGAGTATGTACTTCCTGACTACTAGAGCAACTGTTTTTTCCAATGGGCTCCTTAGAGACACATGCTGCCAACAGCTAAATCCAATGACTCTTCCAGGACTGTTTAGCTGCTTAAAAGTAGGCACGGGCACAAAAACACCCAGGTTCACGGGTCTCTGCCTGGGTGTACCCAGGATGGCTTGAGGCACGTAGAAAACAAATAACTTTTGTCCACCTTTCAACCGACAAAACTGTCTTTTAACATATTGAATATCGGAGGTCAGTAGCTTGCCATCAATGCACCCAAGTAATTAAAAAAATCATTATTAAAACAAGCACACACTACAGTATTTCGCTATATATTGCACTTTCCTCACGCCTTTTCATAAAGGAAAGGTCAAACGCAGCCCCTTCACCTGCACCCGGCACCCGAGCCCCCCAGAAGCCACAGAGGCCGGTGGAGAGGAGACCTCAAGACAGGAGACATCAGCCCTGTCCCAAACCACAGGGCTCTGCTATTAAATGCACAGCAACTGAACCCAGCTGAGCTGTTTCTGCCTCTCTGTTTCTTTGGCTGCTTGGCTTACAGCACTGAACTTGGAGGAAAGAAAAAAAAAAAGATTAAACTTCAATTAAATTGTAATTACATTTAATGAATACCAAATACCTGACTCACTGAATAAGCTGTAAGTGSAAAGATTATTTTCTCATAGTGACTTCCTTGGAATAGTAATATATACCTTTTAGGGAAAGTATTTTAATTTTAAGAACGCAGAGTTCCTCTAGGTGGGTTTCGGAAGTTCATCAAGTCACTATTAGGTGGAATCTTAAGGAAGTAGAGGGATACAGACAACCTTTTATATTCCAGAAACTGTTTTTTAATATTAATCTGCATTTTAATTGGGTAACAGCCGCTGCCTACAGAATTTCYCATACTCAGAAGACAGACAGATTTAAGAGAGATTAACGCGTGGCTCTTTGGAGCTGTATTTAGCACTCRCTAGCTTGTTTGCTCATTTTCTTGGTGTCCCCTTCCCCAGCAAAGATGGGGGGCACAACCGGTCCCCAGGCGGCAGTGCCAAGGGAGGTACCAGCTCGCTCAAACCGAGCGCCCGCCGTGCAGACACCCAAGAGCCCCGCAGCAGGAACCACCCATCCCAGTACAGAGGGATGCCCACCCGTCCCATGGCCCCCGTGCAGACCAGAGGCTGCCCAAGAGGGTCCCCATCGCTGCTCTCTCATCCTCCCTGCTCTGTTCACAGTCATACACACCAGGAACACCCAGCTTGGCGCTGGGTGCATCGTGCGCCCGCAGCATCATCTGCTCTTGCGGCTTTGCTAAAGTATCAAAGCATAAAACTAGGCTCCTGGAAATCCTGATTGGTGATCCTCTGAAGCACATGGACTTGGGAACATAAAAAAAGTTAAGGCATTCTTCTTTTTGTACCTTTATTGTCTGTTCCTTCAGGGAAAAAAAAATCAATATAAAATAATCATTAAAAAAGAGCAGAGTAGCATGAAAAGCCTCCATGAGCATACTGCATGGAGAGGGAACATTTCACTTAAGCACTCAGCGTGAGTTTTCTTAGGCACCAACCAGATTAACTACATCTTCCAAAGGGGCATGACCAGGCTTTATACCTGAGGGCAGCTTCTGGCTACCTGTAAGTGCTTTCCATCCGCTCRGAATAAGTGTGACTTCACTCCTGATGACCAGGCTTCAAGGGCTGTTGTTTCACAGAGGTAAGTGAAGAGGAAGGGGAGAGGATGAGGGCTACAGAGCGAATTGTCTGCTGTGGGATGTCGGAGGAAGCCTCCCCTGGCCAAGGGCATGCGCCAACTCAGGGCAAGAGTAAAGCAAAGGGCTGCCGGGAAGGTGCCCATAAGCACTACGCCCTTGCCACACCTTGCTGTCTTCCTCAGATGGAAAACAAACCCAATTATGCTCCAGATCCTGGGAGTCATGTCAAGGGACCCCAGCAATCCTCTCACACCTACTCTTTATGCAGCAACCTTGTCGCTTCTTGGTAAAGGCAGTGAATGGCGGGGAGAGGTGGGGAATAAGCAGCTGAGCRGACAGGCTCCCGTGTAACGTCAACACTACTGCCTTTCCTACGGAGTTTATGGAGTTTATCTCGGAAATCATYGTATTTCTACTCCAAGACAGTTTGCTGATTACATAAGCACTTGTCTCTGGTGTACAATCTGATAATCGGCCCTGGTCTTTCTTTGTAGAGAAAGAGGCCAATAAATCTCACCCTTTGTAAGTAGAGGTGCCTAGACAAAGCTCTTTACTGGCATTTAGCAGAAAGGGTGTTTTTGAGGCAGCAGCTGAGCCGATGGCCGGAGCTGTGCCGGCAGTGGCTGCACACACTGCTCTCTCCCCCAGGACCCACCAGGGCCCTTCCGTCCCTCCTCCTCCTCACTGCGCATCCCTGGTGCCGGCGGCATGGAGCGGGGCAGCTCGCGGAGCTGTCTGCACGCCAAGCAAAACCACCAGCACCAAAATGTGTCCCACGGGCAGCACCTTTTCCTCACCATTGACAGCAAGGACGTRTGAAGGGAGGGAGATGCTCTGCGTCCTGCACGGAGGTGCCCAGGCTCTCTTGCTCAGCACGGGCAGGGGCAAGAGCTGGGGTCTAGGGAGGAAGAACTGAAGAGAGTAAGAAAGAGCGAAGCAGAGGTCTGCAGTGAGGGGGGATTTKCTGTAGGAGCAACATCGGGTGGTACAGGGACAAGTGGCACCTGATCGGGGGTGTTATGCCAACTCCAGCCTTTACAAAAGCAGACAGAAGTAAGGAATGGTATTTTTGTGGCTGTTTATAAGATGCACAGCACGGCAGCTCACCTCTGCTTCCTGGCACAGCGTTTCCAAGCCAGGCTAGGCAGGAGATGCTGTGAGCAGCCTGGCAGCCAGGCAGCACGCAGCCCATGCCCTGCACTGAGCAGCACCGGCCACTCGGGGCTCAGGAGCTGGGATTCTCCAGGCTACAATTACTCCCTGACACACACTATTAATAGCAGAGAGGTTCCCCAACCTGGTCTGTTTGACGACCTCGTGCCACAGATACGCCCTGGAGGGATTTTTTTTGTGACCAYTTCACCTGGCTTCAGAGCTGTCCCTCTTTATTTCACTCTGTCCCCACAACAGCAGGCAGGAGTTGAGCTGCAGAGGAGGGATGGGAGCAGCGAAGCCCATGCCTATGTGCAGGGCTCCTGCAAATTCACAACCCGCACATGCCGCTCAGCTCGCAGCCTCTTTCGCTCTATCCCTTCACACACAGGAGCCTGCAGAGAGGCRACTACCTGCTCCACGCTTCCTGGCTCCAAAGAGCAAGGGAAGATAGAGAAAGTGGCACGGCGGTGAAGGAGCCTAAGATGGGCTCAATGTCTCTACATGGTTGGTGTCCAGAGGACCTCCAAGCCACTAATCCCAGTGTCAAGCCCCTAGTGCCTCCTGACACCCTAGCAGACTTCAGACTGCGTTCAGCTTGCAAAAACACGCCAAATAAATTCCAAATTTGCTTGCAGACTCTCATGCAGCAACAAATTTGCAACCTTCAGCACTGGGGGTAGGACAAAACAGAGGAATTTTTCCAAAATGAAACTTCATTAGGAGTTAATTGATGAAATGATTTCTCCAGAATCCAGATGACATACAAAAATCACATTTGGAGCCTTCTCCATCAGATAACACRTCTCTTAACACAGATCAGGTGCAAGCTTTAAAACTGATCGCAGCACACATTTGCACAAGCATGTGTTCAGCAAGTCTCATGTGTGTTAGGACAGCTGAAGTAGTYGCCCAGCCTTCTAGGAATAAGTTTGCAAAAGATTTTCCATTATAGCCCCCCATTTTCACACATGTACAGCTTGCTGAAAGCCTCTCTCATTGTCTATACTTAGGTTTTTTTGGATTCTCTTTCCCCAAAAAATTTATATAAAATAATACCTTCACCTCTTTTTCAGTTACAGGACAATGAAAGAAGGGAAAGTATTTGTTTTTAAAATGCAGAAATGTGGAAGGGTCTGACTGGCCTTGGAGGGGGCTCCAGCTACCACAGAAAAGTCATTTAATCAAGTTGGCCCCCATGGGATGAGTTTGCTGAGGGCCCCACTGCAGCCACTGAAGTCGTAAAAAATGCATCTTGGTGTCAATGGCCCCAGTCCTGCATGCAAAGAACCTGGGTACTCTGATCCCCCCATACAGTGTTTTAGTGCCTAGGCTGGTCAAAAGTTCAACAGTGGAGAAGCAGGGAAAAAAGCTGAGAGGAAAGGGAACTTATAAAACTTCCTCGCCTGCAGCAAGGAAGAAGTGTGCCCCTACAGAAACAGTCAACTTTGTGCTGAAATGAAAAAATAATATTCCTACTCCCATGATTCCTTTGATTTGTAAGGAATTGTTCCTTGCATGCCATCTTCATCCTCTCATCTGCATCTGGGGAAGGCTGGATGCATCTCAGCAAAGCAGCTCTCCTCAGCAATGAGTGTAACCAAGTAACAAGACCTCACTTCTGCAGCAAGCACTGCACGAACCCCACAGGCACACCATCAAAAAAAGAGTCTTAAAAATAGAGATGTAGGATGTCTTACCATTCCGAGGAGCTCATCAAATCAACAAGCAAGCTCACAAGAGAGTCATTTAGAGCCTCTGAACCATGGAGCAGTACTACACTGCCTTTGGACCAGGCTCTCTTTGACATTCCCCACCAAAGAGCAGCAGAGCACAACCACGAAGTGCTCACAGGCTCCAGGACCTCGACCATTCTCTACTTTGGCATTAGAATTTTAATTCTGTGGTCATCCAGGAATATATTCATTAGTTAAATAAATAATTGAACTTCTTAAATAGATGGTAACCATAACTGGAGCTGCTTATGAACCCAAAGCAAAGCCTGTCTTAAGGCTATACTTAAGACAGGCTTAACTCTACCACAATAATAAAGATGTTTCCTCTTGTCCTTAACGCGAGGCTGGCACAACACCATGCCTTGGAGCAGCAGCATGAGGAAGTGATCCCAACCCCTGGTGCAATGGAAATCTGCTTCCCAGAGATACTCTCAGCGCACCAGGGAACCTTTGCACTTTACCTCTGTACAGAAGGGCGTAAGCTGGGGATGCACCACAGGCTGAACATACATGTGAAAGGTGGATTCGATCTCCATCGTCCTGCCATTCAGCTTCAGGATAGGGAACTCGATGATTTCCTGAAGAGGGTAAAAAGAAAAGCAGCTGATCATTTAAATCAAGAAAAAAAATGAAGCTGGGAAAGCTCTGTTTTAGCAAGATGACAGCAAGAAGAGTGGGCTGAGGCTCGCAAACAGAAACGAGGCCAACATGAAGCTCTACGCTATGAATGAGAGGCAGGCAGGAGCACTGAACACATCCAGCAGTGTTAGCATGAAGGATCACGGTGCTGGCACTCGTCACGTGCTGGCCTCAGCCGGGACATCCTGGTGGGTCCCTGCGCCCAGTGCAGCAACTGCAGGCGCTGCTGCCTTGAGTTGAACCTTTCAAGAGGAAGACTACAGCATAGCACCACTCACACGCGCTGCCCTGAGGCCACGGAGAAATAAATGCTGGCAATGGGTTCCTTGGAGCTGGCARCGACATCTCGGACGCGATGCCCTGAGGATGAGCAGCTCCAGCCTCTCCACCACTCGCTGCTTTTGGAGGACACCACACACACACCAGGAGCTTCTCAAAACGTGYGTGCTGTGGCATAAAGCACCTCCTTCCCAGGCACGGCTGAGACACAAGTTGCAGGGAGTACCGCTCTCCTCCAGTGAGACAAGAGGAGCTCTAGGTCCCCTTGCAAAAGCCACCCCTGCGGGATGCAGCACAGCAGCAAGCCCTGCTTTATTTTCTTCTCTATAGCCAATTTATGCTGATAAGAGAAATAAAAACGTTCTTCATCAGAGGAATGTTCAATTATTTGAATAATCAGCAATCAAAAATTTACATGGACCTGTTAATAAAAAGTTTAAACAAATCCAGTTACGATGGATTTCTCAATTATTAAAAAATATACATGATATTAAAAAAAGCCAAGCGCTGAATAAAAGCGATAAAATCCTTTGTGTTCACCCCCCTCCTTCCCCACCGCCTCTCCTCCTTCCAGTTTAATGCAAGAGAAGTGACAATTTGTTTGGTGTCTTTAAAGAATAATTTGTCTATGTTATTTAATAGAGATGCATGGCACTGAGGTTCTGGAGTGCAAATGAGCCTGCTGAGTGATATCCATGCAACAAGCCTCTCAAATCACTTCTAGAGAGAAAGAGAGAGGGAGAGAGAATAAAAAAAATATTGCTTTTTAATATTCAAAAACAGTTTGCAAAATTTAATCAAAGCAGAGCAAAAGCTAACATTTTTACCACTTTGACATTTTTATTAGCGCTTTCATAAATTTTTAAAACATGAATGGAATTAGTTTAACAACAAAAAAAAACACACTGCCTGAAAACATCTGGAAGAGACAAATACGAAATACCAAAAAATAAATAAATAAACCCAACTCGGGCGAGTAAAATTAGCATGGGGAAGAGGCAGTGGCTGCAGAGGAGCAGGGCAGGTTTTGGACCCGGGCCACGCTCTCTGTGACCAAAGGGTGGAAGTTACCGTGAGTCGTGTGCGTGAGCTGAGGGCATCACGGCSTGGGCAGCAGCGGGAGGGTACTGGGAACAACGTGGAGGAGGTGAAACATCCCTTGGGAACAGCCGAGGGCTGTGAATGCTCATGGCGACGAAGCGCCCGTGCGCGGCGCGGGACAAAACACGGGATTCCCGTTTTCCGACACGTTTGCCCACTGCATTTTCCCCTGCTGAAACAATGTTCCCTCAGCACCCTCCTGCTCGGAAGGGCCTGCGGATTTGGAGGCAAATGGGATGTGCCCATGGAGCGCGGCTCGGTGCCCGGCCGGCTGACGTGCTTCAAGGCCTGCTCAAGGGGAGAGTCRCTGCCCTGGAGCCGGGGCGGCCTCGGAAGCAGCAGGAGCGAGGCAGGGCAGGCCCCATTTGCCTGCCGCAGCCAAAGGCGCTTCCAGGAGGGTCACATTAAAACACGGAGGAGGAAAAAAAAAAATCTACTAAAAAAATGTGGAAAATTTAACAATATCAAGCGTGACTGTGGATCTGGGGGAAACGTGCGAGCTGGGGTGGAACCTGAGCAGCAACGCGAACGTCGTGGGGARAGAACAGCAGCTCTTTGGGGCTTATTTGGTCCGTTTTTCAAGYGAGCGGTAAAGGGCCTTTCCCAAAAGGCTGTTTATCCGCACGCTTCCTACAGCGAGGATTTTTCCAGGCTCTGGCAATGTTTGCTCCGCTGGTATCTAAGGCAACAGATACCAGCCCCATGAAATCAGCCCCACTCCTCACTAACGACGTTAGCCAGTCCTGCAATGAAATTTAACCTGTGACACCGCTGTACTTTTCATTTAAACTTTCATTTGGAGAGAAGCAGTGTTTGGAGACCCTGCAGTTTGTCCTGCTAATAAAGACAAGTGTTGGGACCTTTAAAGGTGCCATTCATCTTTTGCCTTTATTAAATTCAATTTTCTTAAGCCCATGATACATCATGAAATTAAGAGTTGACATTCCTGCAGAAACAAAAATATCTATCAAACATAAACAGAAAGAGGGGAAAAAAAGAGGTCTCTATTACCAAGAATTTATGGCTAAAAGTTGATCTGTTTCCACTTTTTTCTTTCTTTTTTTCTTTTTATTTAACAAGCATATGGTTTGTTTTAGATATCCAAAATGTTATTACAGATCTAGAATTTCATTAGTAATTATTCCGAAATGGTGAGTGCTCAGACACACATACACACAGGCAGCCAGGCGCTCCCTCATGTCCCACAGCAGCCTGGTGAGCTGAAAAGGCTGCATCCCCCCAGCCAAGGCCCTGGGCTGCCCTTTCCCAGGTGGGAAAGGCGGAGGGAAGCAGTGCAATGGAATTAAAAGGAGGGGTTCACTCACATTTGGTTTCCTTTATCAGGCTGATCACTTGTAGGAGCTACCTTGAGACCCTTATGCATTTCCATGTCCAGCACTGGTTACCTGCGTGCCAACCACTGCATCATCTTCCCCCAGCAGCGTTTGGGTTTTCCAAGGATTTCTCTCTCAACCAAAAGTTATGGATGTGCTGAAATAACACGGAGGGTGTTCGAGACTGCCAATAGCCACAAGGTACCAGAACAACAAATGTAGCCATTTGAATTCTGCAAGCTCTGCAATTAGGTACTTTATTTAGCACTGCAAAGTTAACTCGAAAGGAAATCCAGGCTTCCAACCATCAGCAGTAAATAAGCAGCTTTTTATTTTCCTTTCATTGTCGTGAAAAGTTGAGCATGTTTTGTGCTGAGAAATTCTGCACGCAGCTCCCAATTACAGACATTTGCATTTATATTGTTGGAACACAGAGCTTCTAAAATCAATATTAACACGCTTAAAGAAAAAGACATTGCCGCCCTGTCCCTCCTCTCAGCTGCTCACCCAAACACGTTCACAATAGCAACGGAGAGAGCCCTAGGCTTAGAAATACCCATTACTGGATCCACYGTCTTCCCAGCAATCTTCTATTCACGATTTTGCGTTACTTCAAGCAAATCTAGCTCAGTTCTCCCCATCTTTTTTCTTAAACCTGCCCATCCCATGACACGGGGTCTGAGGAGAAGCAAGTCAGCTGCAGCATAAACTGCAGAGGGGCTATGGGCTTTCCTTTCAAAGGGACCTGAAAAATTCATACGGGCATGTGAAACCACTGCTGCAAACACAGCCTCTTCCTACCCATCCGCCCCAAATGACACCCCCCTGTTTTAGCACGAGAAGAGGCCGCCTGGATTTTCTCGATGATAAATCAACAAGCACACGCCAATACTCACTAAATGCCTTCCTGGAACAGCACGATCTCTACAACTCGGAAAAGCAAGCAGCAAAAGTTGCTCTGCTTCCCCCACAAAAATCTTTCTGCTCATCTTCTGGGATCTGTGGAGCAATTAACATTCTTAGACTAGAGGAAAGTCCACAGCAAAAACTTCCCGGCTCTCCAAACCTTCGAGTTGAGAAGCCCATGCAAGAAGTGGACAGGGCTTACCGCAGGACAGGGGTTTATATATTTGAGGAAGATCTCGTGGCCATTCAGTTCAAAAATGAGCAGAGAATRATTTATTCCCTACTCCCACCCCCATCTGAAGAAGTTTCATAAACATCAGAATAAAAGATGCCCCTAAAAATCAGAGCTGACTGTTCAAAAATGTAATGAAAACCAGCAGATGCTTTAAGAGAAAAGGATTTTTTTTTCTTCCCCGATTAAAAAAAAAAAGACAGAACTTCCTACCAGGAGATCACTCTGCACCTTCAGAAAAGGTGAGGGAGGGAAATGCAAGGGAGTTTCACTGGAGGGAACACAGACTCAGCATCAGTGCATTTTATTCRGGGATTTTTTTTTCCCTCTTTAAAGAAAAAAGTCATTTTATGCACAAGGAGCTTATTTCTTAAACAAACACTCGTGTTTTTGATTTACACCACGGGCTGCTCCTAAATAATTTATGGCGGGTTAAATTTATTGCACAGCCCTGGCCGGCTGCAAATTCGAATTGCCAAATAATTAGATTTTAGGGCAATGCTTATAAATTATCCGCCGATTTGTCCGGACTTGTTTGTCAGTTGCTTTGTGCTTCGGGTCATCTTTGGCATTTCGCTGTTTGTGTTTTAATTGCTGATTTACACTTTGACAGATGAGAGTTGATGCCTCCAAGTTCCGGGAGGGAATAGAAGAGGGGGAGTGAAGAGCAAGAAGAATCAGAGCTGTTAAAGGCTTGCGATTTCCCTTTTTTCCAAGGCAATTAAAATCCAAAGGGGACATAGTAAGGACAGCACTAGCCTAACAGATCTGCCTTCCCCATTCCCATTCCCTGCCTTAATTATTATTTTAACTAAAGCTGTTTTCAAGTTGAGCAGCCTTGCACTAGCCCTCGGGGGCAGTAACCGAGATGACCTCATAGGTCTTCTCCCCAATTCGGAATTTCTGTTTAACTAACTAAAACGACTGCCATAAACACAACCCTTTTGCAGTGGGGACAGCAAGACTTCTGCTGAATCAAGCACGTGGCGGTGCCTACGTGCACACACAGCCACGAGTCTCCCGACACTTCTGCCCAAGGTACAAAATAACCCTGTGAAGAGGCCTTTGGGGAAGCAGCTGACCCCCA